AGGGAACCCCACCGATTCTCGATTTTAATTTTTCAAGATTTTCAATGGGCTAGTAAATCAATACCAATGCTTGTTAAGATTTGTAACTTTGCACATATATATTTGAAGTTTTAAAAGAGAAGAAAAATAATTTACAAAAAATTTTTGTTATTGTTTTGTTGTTGTTTTTTGTAATTAAAGAAAAGTCCTTATTTTTGATGGCGGGCATGATAACTCCTCACTGGGACATCGGAATCCGAAAATTCCAACGGTGTTAGAAAGAGTACATGTCTGGCTCTCGTATGAACTAGGATTATTGACTTCGCTCTAAAATTAACAAAGTGGCGGACCATTGAAAAAATATTTTTGGAAAATTGCCGATTTTTTAACAAAAACTAAGTTAAAAAATAAGGAAGATCTTCACCGATTGGGTTTATCCTAGTTCATACGATAGCTATACACTCCCTGATAAACGTTGCAAAATTTGGAACCGATTGGATTATTAGTTTTTGAGTTATCGTGCCCGCCATTCGCAAAAAATGTTTAGAGAAAAACGCGTTTAAAGTTTGAGAAGCCCTTCAGCCGTCACTTGATGCTGACACAATAAATCGGATATATCTTCAAGAGTTCTTGAGATTTTCACTTGAAATTTTGTAGAGACGTTCTTTAATCAGTGTAGATTCGAATTATATCAACAAAAATGTTGACCCCGAGAATGAGGGGGTCCCCTTAAAAAATCCACGCTGTATAAAGATATTAAACAATTATTTAAAAAATCTACGCAAAATAATTTAAACCAGTAAAGAAAGTAGTAAAGTCGAACGGGGCCGACTATATCATACCCTTCACCACTTTGGGCATATTCAACAGATGAATCCTAACAGACGACGTAAAATGAAATTGGATCCATAAACATGTCATTCTGCAACCGATACTAAATTTTTCATTTGGTCAGATATATAAGCTATATCTAAATCTGAACCGATTTACATTAAATCGGACGAAAATATATATGGAAGCTATATCAAAATCTGAACCCCAAATAGGATCATAAATGCGACCTGTATTTTGTACACAAAAATACATGGACGGACGGACATACGGACGGACATGCGTAAATCGACTCATGCTTATTCTCAAAAGGAACCATGTGTCTATCTCGTTTTCTTTTGCCTGTAACAAACATATGCACAAAGACATAATACCCTGTACCACAGTGAGGTGAAGGGTATAATAATTATAACGGTATGTGGAAAAATAATAACAAAATTTATTTTTATTTTTAAATAGTTTGTAAAGTATTTGTTTTAAAAATTTATACTTTGCTGTGGAAAAATGTCCCTCATCAAAATATTCGTTCAGACCGCATATGTATTTGCACCAAATCCAGTTGTAAATGTTGATTTGATACATTGATTGTACATCGTAACTTTTTACCAAATATGCATTAAATCCAAATATGCGACATTAAAGCAACTTCTTGCTACCAGTTAAATTATATGGTGTTCGGATCATACATATGTCTGTAGAGCAATAAGAATCAGGGATAAATACATATTTTGGTTCATTTTATTCTATAAATATTATCCGATCACTACAGAAAACTGTAGATTTCACGTGGAACATTAAATATTGTTACGAATATAAATTTACATTTAAGTTACTTTAGATGAATTCCGTTAATTTAAGAATTTGAATTGTAACGTAAATTTCTACTACGCAGTTTATTTGAATAACTTCACAACAACAACTACTGTATAGATTTTTCTACATCCTTCCATTTCCTCTTTCATTGTCTATTTTTTTGTTGACGTACAATTCTTGTTAAACGTCATCATTGATGATCGCTTAATTCCTCTTTCTTTGTTACCCCCTCACCTGTATATGTGTTGTTGTTATTGTTTACTCAATGTATGTTTGTATGTGTTGTTGTTATTGTTTACTCAATGTAAGTTTGTATGTGTGTTTGTTGCATTGGTAGATTGTTCGTGATCTAGGTGTTACCAGATCGTCTAGAAACTTCTGTAGCTACAAGCAAGGCTCATATAAATAGGGGAAATGGAAAGGCAGTGAGTCATTTGTGAATCAGATCGCGAATTGAAACCGTCGTGTAAAGTAAAGTGCAAAGTAAAGTTGTGTGAATAAAATCATTGTAATAATCGTAATCTGAAAGAACCCGCGTTTTATTTGATACGAACTGTATCGGGAAATAAAACAACGTCTACACGGGATTAAGTAAAATCCAAGAACGTAACAATATTATGTATCGGTTGACGTGATATTTGATTGTGGGAAATAATGATATTCATCAAAACATCCATGCTGATCCAGAGCAGTTTCCCTTGCCCGTGCAAAATATTGTCTTGTCTTTAAGAGATCACCAAATTTTTACCCTAATTTGGTAATCTCTACAGAGACCAGAATAACAGAAAAAAATTAAGTTTCAGGTCCATTTGAATATATAAGTGTCGTCTTTGGGCAGAAAAAAATCCACGTACTAAGGGCGATTCGTCCTTAACTTCAAATTATAATGTCCAAATCGGACAGTAAGTCGGAATATATCGGTGGTCTTGGAGCAAACTCTAATGTTCCTCACAACATAGTTATGTAGGGTAAACAAATATAGATAAAATGTACATGTGACGGAAACAAAAAATGCCCAAAATCCACCCAAGCCCTAAAATGTACAACTTTTATGCCCACTTTTGGGCATAAATGCCCACTTTCGGCAACACTGTACAAAAAGGACACATATTCCTCAAAATACCGTTATATGGGTGTTATTGTAAAGTAGGTCAAAATTTATGATAGAAAGATTTGATACACAAAATTTAAGTAAAAATACAAAATTACAAGCATTTGTATTGAAAAATGGTAGTGGACATAAGAGCTTAGTATTAGATTTACACATTTTCAAAAATGTAGACCCTTTACGGGGGAAGTAATACAAGGAGTTGGCCTATAAATCCCATTACGATGAGCCGTTCACATTTTAAGACATTTAAAACTTTTCAAAATATGTACCCTTGGTGGGAGAGGTACCAGAAGAAGCAGACCAAGAATTCCCACCTTCGAACACGATATGATTATAGTAAAAATATTAGGTTGTGTAAAATTTGGATTAAAACTGATAATATTTTCGTTTATTTCTCAGAAAATGTTGACCACTTATAGAAGATGGTCGAGCCAAATTTGGGTTTGAAAGAAAAATGTGCAATGTTTGAATTAAATCGGTAACTCCTTTCGAACGTTATCCTCTAGGATGCGGGTGTAAAACTTGAGTTTGTATGTAAAAACGTATTCTATGAGTAAATTGAATTATAACAAAGTAGGTATATACTGAAAGTCCATAAATATAGTGTTACATTTAAGGGAACCCCACCCATTCTTGATTTTAATTTTTCAAGATTTTCAATGGGCTGGTAAATCAATACCAATGCTTGTTAAGGTTTGTAACTTTGCACATATATATTTGAAGATTTAAAAGAGAAGAAAAATAATTTACAAAAAAATTTTGTTATTGTTTTGTTGTTGTTTTTTGTAATTAAAGAAAAGTCCTTATTTTTGATGGCGGGCATGATAACTCCTCACTGGAACATCGGAATCCGAAAATTCCAACGGTGTTAGAAAGAGTACATGTCTGGTTCTCGTATGAACTAGGATCTAAAATTAACAAAATGACGGACCTTTGAAAAAGTATTTTTTAAAAATCGCCGATTTTTGACCAAAAACCAAGTTAAAAAATAAGAATGATCTTCACCGATTGGCTTTATCCTAGTTCATACGATACCTATACACTCATAGAGAAACGTGTAAAAATTTGGAATTGATTGGGTTATTAGTTTTTGAGTTATCGTGCCCGCCATTCGCAAAAGAGAAAAACGAGTTTAAAGTTTGAGAAGCCCTTTAGCCGTCACCTGATGCTGACAGAATAAATCGGCTATATTTGCAAGAGTTCTTGAGATTTTCACTTGAAATTTTGTAGGGACATTCTTGAATTAGTGTAGATTCGAATTAAAACAAAAAAAATTAAGTCAAAATTTGTCATATCTTAACGAGCTATAAGTGATTGCCCACCAGAATTGAATTCTAATTTCTCGTCGCAATTATAGGCCAATAAAGTATAACTATTTGTAGCTTAAATTATAATTTTTGTAAGCCTAAAAGTGACCTTTCATTTTAATTCTCTGATAGTTTGCCCAATTACGTTTTTAATTTTTGATACTAATAGCTTTGTCAGGTTACTTTTCCAGTAACATTTACTCTGTAAGATCTACTTTAGGATCAAGCCGTTTTTATTTCCTTTTTTATTTATTTCTCTTTCGATATGAACTACATGATCGAAGTTGCAAGGATAAAGAAAGTCAGCGAGAGTTTTTATTTTTTTGCAACATTACTGAGAAAAGAAAACAGACAATATTCAGAAGATTTTGCAAAATACAGCAGTTTTGATTTAGCTGCCTTGCACATAGCTGCACTTTGGATTTAGCTGCCCAATATACACTTGTTTGATAGTTTTTGTTAGATTCCCCTTTTAAAAATTTCATTTAAGCGCACAATTCATGCTGGCACATTTCAGATAACAGCTCACAATAATTGCACTTTTTTCCTCTCTATGCTTAACAATTTTTGAAAAAGTCGTTATTTTTACATATATTCGGAAAACACACAAGGATTATTATTTTTAACGCAAGAAATATACGCATCAAAAACAATAGTCCTTCTGTATCATTATTATATAATTAGCGGTGATTGTGTATTGCAGAAAATTTAACATCTTTGTATTTTCATGCAGTGATTTCACTTACATACACCTTAATTCAGGTAAGAGATTTGAGATACCTGCTCTTTTGACTTTCGTGCACAGAAATAATCACTTAAAATGCTTTAACTTATTAAGGAATAAAATTCATAAAAGAAAAAAAATTGTTTGACTTTGTTAAAAATTTGGACATTTAGTAAGTTCTCAGCGTGGAACTGTCATCAGCTCTCTTTTCGCTCTCCTTTACTGTTTGACTTACCTTATCAGGAATGTTTTCGGATTTTTTCTCAATTTTATTTTTTTCGTTTTCGTTTGTCTTTTTATTTGTTATTTTGTCTTTATTTTCGGCATCAGCACCCTTTGTAATTTCATCGTCAATCTTTTCTTCTTTATTTTGTGTCAATTCCTCCTCCTTCGTATTCGATAACAAAAACAAACATTCAATACAATTGTGTAATAAAAAATGTATATAATGAAAATATAAGTACAGTCAACGCCGGGTATAAAAAATGATATATTGTCAGGCCCATTCGTTATATCGCGATGTTGTTTAAGGTGCAATTTTATTAAAAAATTAAAATGTTAATTAACGTAATAATAACTTATTTACATATTTTTATTATAAGACTATCCCATTATTTTTTGCGCCATTCGTTTTTGCGCCCAGTATATAAATTTGGAAAGTGTTCGTTATCGACTATTTTGCTCATTCGTTACATCCCGAATTCATCGAATTAAACTGAGTATTATTTATACCGGGCGTCGACTGTATGCAAAAATATGGCATTCTCATATGAGTACACAAAAAGCAATTTATATATTAGGGGCATTATTATGTAGAATATACCATGGTACAATAATACAAGGCAGGGCAGTTTGAGGTGAATAACAAAAAAGCAAATATGCACGTGTGGCTTCTTCTGCCAATAATAAAATAAATATACGCAATAAGTGTTTGTATTTATTTGACATTTTTTCAAAACAAAACTAAAAACGCGAAAAATGAATAAAATTATTTGATTTCTTCCCAAAATCCAGTAGGGAATACCATAAAATATTTGTTTCAGCCATAACAAAGTAATTACTTCCAGACGAACGTGTTATAAACATTATTTTCATTTCAATTAAATTTGAATATATTTCAATTTATTTTGAATTTATTTGGCATAGTATTCAAAACAAAACACATGCATACACAAAATACATATGTATTTTGATTTGATGGAACAAGCCACCTTGAATTATTATACCTTGTAATTATTATACCATGGAATATACTAATTCAACATTTATATGATATTTTCATACTATTTTAAACTATACGTGTTATTTCCGAAAAAACATTGCCCAGAAACATACAGTCTTTAAAGTCTTTTATTGTGATAATGTGCATTATCTCGATTTAATTGCTAAATTTAACTCGATTTACCATGATTTGCAAGAAATCCAATACTAAATCGAGATAATTTCAAATAAAACCCTAATTTTGAACTAAAAAAAATTTTCCTTAATGTACTTCTGACCTAACATTTGTCACAGAAAATGAAAGCAGTAAAATGTGTATGTATAACAAAATGTATATATGTATAACAAATAACAGTTGACAAATCCACATTTATTTTTAATAGCTAGGATTTCGTACCTCGATATACAAATATACAAATCGAATTGATTTAGAAGACATAGTCTAAACGCGCCTTTATCGATAGCAAGTGACCCATTCTGCGTTGTTTTGTTATATATAACAAACACACATTAACAATAATAATACTACTAATATAAAGGACATTTTATACAATTTGAGCTGTTTTGCTGTGCTATTATTTTGGTGTTGAAATTAGTATTTAGCAATTTTCATTGGCGTTTTAAATCTACCAATGTTAACCTTTCAGAAGGACAAATAGATGTACCATATCGCATAGCCAAATTGTATTGTGTACCAAATTATAAACTTTGCAGATGTATAAAAAGAAACACCATTTAAAAAGTGAATTTCATTATGTACGTAATAGTACGTTTACATTGTACCGAATTTCGTTAACCCAGTGGGTATAAATTGTCAATTCCATTGTATATATTTCAAATAAATACTCTTAAAGTAGGTTAACCCAATAAGGACGTAGAAGATTTAAGATTAGTTCGTCTAATTTTTACTAAATAATTTTGTATTATACATAATAATTGTTTATTTTTATGTATAATACAAATATTTGCTTACCTTTCTTTTAACATCAGCTAGTTCTTCGTTTTGAGATTTATCTTGCTTCTTTTCTACCACTATCTTGCACGTGCTTTCGTCCTTACCAATTTCATTGCTAACGATTACTCTGTATGAAGCTGTGTGCTCCACTCGTGCTGCACTAAATGTTAGGCGGGCAGTCGTTCCATCAAACGTTGTAGTTATTTCCTTGGTCTCTCGAATTAAAACGCTTCCCTTGTACCACTCAATTTTGCAATTGCGATCAGCCTCTTTTAATTTTATTGTCAAGTCGAAGGATTTGTTTTCAACAACTTTTTGATCTTTTAGCTTTCTATCGATTTCTGGTTTCTTGGGCTTGCGTTCCGCCTCAGGTATATCTGTTAATTGAACTATTTGCGAAACGGCTTCTCCTTTTTCGTTGCTTGCAACCAATTTATAAGATCCCTTATCCGTTTCGTCCACGTCGTTTATTTCCAATTGTACCGCAAATTCTCCTTCTTTAGATTTTTGAACCTTGTAAACGTGACGGCTACTTTCACTCACCACATTTGATTCTTTAAACCATGTGCACTTAGGTTCGTACTTCGAAGCAACTGTACATTCAATTACAACGGTTCGTTTCTTTATAATCTTAATAATTTTAGGTTTGTCTTTAATAACGGGAATGACTAAAATTGTAAAATAAAGTTATTATTATATGATCTCCATGTTTAACAAATGCACAACATACTTTCAATATTTAACGTTAAGTTTGCGTTAAGTTCGCCCAAGGTATTTTTAATATTACATTTGTAAAGCCCAGAATCTTCCAATTGCGGATCTATCATTTCAAGTTTTATATAGTAATGGTCTCCGCGTTGCTCTACTGACATTTTAATTCTGTTATTTTCGTTAATAACTTCGTTATTTCGGTACCAAATAATTTTTGGTTTCGGATCAGCTTTAACCTTGCATTCCATTATTATTAGTTTACCACTATTTTCGGAAATAATTCGCGGCTTTTCTACAAAAGTTGGACCTTCGCCATCTGGTTCAGCTTCTGCTTCAATATTTAAATTGAGGTTAGCATTTGATTCACCAAATTCGTTTTTCACGTTACAGCGGTATGTACCACCGTCTGCAGCCCCTGGATCCTTTAAAATTATGTAAAACAGAATATTCATACTATTTTTAATACATATAAGATACAGTTCCTTTGTTATTCTAGAATTGTTTTAATTGTAATTCCTGCATTTATTTCAATTCGAAACACTTCATTTAAAATTTTCCATATGAAAGTCACAAACAAAACTTTTTTAAAATTTAATAATTTTAATTACATATAGAGCTATTTTAATTACGAATTAGAAATTAAATTTAATTTAATAATTTAATAAAGGTGCAAATTAATTTTTATTTGCTCAATTTATAGCATACCTTAATTTCCAATGTAAGCTCATAAGAGTCTTCACCAATAGGCGATGTTTTTATTGCTATTTTCTTTGACTTGTTCACCACATCTTTGCCTCTGTACCATGTAACTGTAGGTTCTGGTTTGGCTTTGCAACGGCACTTCATCGTTATGAGCGTTCCGGAATCATTTGGAATAATTCTTGGTTTCTCAATAAATGAAGGAGCAAACCCGTTTGCGTCATTTGTGCCTAATAAAAACAGAAATAAGGATATGATAAATTCATCTTAAAATATTACATGTCGTATAATTATATCGGAAATATTTATGTTAAATAAAACATAAAACAAATAAAAATTCTGAAAACGAATAATATATTTCTTACAAAACAAGAATTTATAAAATGGACAGCGCTTGTAAAAAGTTTCCTAACAAAATTATAAAAGTCTTACAAAATGTTTTAAAATTACATAAAATTACGAAATGTCTTTAATTATGAAAATCATAAAAGGCCACAGCGCCTCATACAAAGAAATGCAATTGATTCAAAAAAGATACCCACACTGAATTGTAAATAGAAACGCCAAAAGGTTAATCGATTATAATATTCATGTTAAAAAACTGATAATTTTTCTGTTTAATATTTTCTTTTTTAATTTTTTCACAAAAACATAATTTCAAAGTGAATTTTGTGGGTCCTTATTTTAGTAAAAATGTTTTTGCGAAAAAAATCAAATAGTCATAACCCTTATGAATACATTCGAAATAATTTTCCATTCATTGTTGAAGTATACAATATTTCGCTACACATATTTTCTTTTGAAGTGAAATATATAAATTTCGTCTCGGCTTTTAACATTTATTGAATTAAAAAACTAATTTTTGGTACTAATTCCCACTTATTGACATCATCCCTGCAAGCATTTTTTATCGTCTATGTAAAGAAACAGTCACTTAGAATAATTCACAATATATATATATATATATATTGTCCTTTGTTCCATGGAAGAAATTGAAGAGTGAGTAAAACATGAATGAACATATTTATAAATTTTTCAATGCCAGTACCAATAGCCATTAAATTAATACGGTATATTCAAAGGCATAGAAGTACAAAGATATGACAATTGATCCATCTACAAATATAAAATAATATATATATTTTGAGTGCAGATCTCTGATTTTATTTAAAAGTACATTTTGGTCGGATTGACATTATCCTAAAATTACAACAAACAAATTTTTTGAAAATAATAAATTATTTACACAAACGAAATGACAAACAAATTTAGTTTTACCATACAACACGTTTGATATGAATGTACCAGATACTACGAACACGTTTTACGGCATATAACTATCTATCTTGTCCCCTTTAATGTAATTCCTTTAAGATTTAATACATTTATAGCAGTGTGTATCGAATTCTCGAAAAAAAATTATCGGTAAAGAATAACACACAAACACCATCTATGAAAATGGATTCCTGGTAGATTAATTTCAAAGTCATACAAACAAAGACATAAAAGTATAAAGATAGGACAACAACAATTTCCAATAGATGGCTTTTCCTCTGTTGTTACGATATCATAACAACAGAGTAAACAATATTACACGTTTTAAACGCTATACTGCAAGTTTATAAAACAAAAACATATTTTTTGAGTACAGATCTCTAATTTTATTTACATTTTATACATACATTATCGCGTATTTGGGTTTTTATTGTTAACATCCCTGCAAGCAAAAACTATCGCGGAAGTTAAGTCGAAGTAACGTCAAGGCGATAGAAACAGTCGCGGAAGATAGTCGCATTCTTATCGCGGAAGTCACATCCTTCGGGAAGAAATGAACCACGACAGCTTCACTTTCAAAAAGTGACTTCTGCGTGACGTCTAGAAGTAACTTTCGCGATACTACGCATATGACACGCAGAAGTTACTTCTTGGAAGTGACGCAGACGTGGTTCATTTCTTCCCGAAGGAGGTGACTTCCGCGATAAGAATGCGACTATCACCCGCGACTGTTTCTATCGCCTTGACGTTACTTCGACTTAACTTCCGTGTCACTTCTAGTATGCGTAATATTTTCAATATTATATTATTTATTCGCTGAAACAATAAGTTGTTTTAAAAAATTAACAATTTTCAAATTATTTCATATTCAAAACACTATAAAATACAAACTTTTAACATTCACAATATAAATAAAAATTTCTGTTTTTTTACACTTTTTTAATTTTTTAATAATAAATATCACACTATTGATACATACACATCACTTTGAAAATTTAACCTTAACTGAGTTGATTTATATGTTTTCTCCTCTGACTGTTTTTACAAGCAGATGAGAGACAATTTTGAAAGAGAGCAAACTGTTTTTGTAGCATTTGATCAATCTTCTTTTGTCTTCCCAGACGTCACTAAGAAGTAACTCAAAGGCGATATAAAGTAGACAAGAACAGTTTTGTTATTGTAATTATACAAACTATCACCTTTTATCTGAAAAGAAGTGACGCGGAAGTGACTTATTGGGCGAGGGAGTGAGAAACTCACTTCCAAATGCTCGCAAGGATGTCTCTGTTATACCTGATTCCCCCTGGATATTTTTTCATAAACTTTTTTGTCAAAATGCATTTTGTCGTGTCTTTACGGTTTGTATGACTTTGTGCCGACATTTATCGATAACTATTGACACACTTTTGGTATTACGTAACAAAGTTTGACGACGACAATGTCGAATATTTCTTCGTCATCATTTTAGTTGACGAATGAAGTGTTTGAACAATTTTTATTAAGAAATTAAAAAAAAAAAAATTATTATTAAATTAAAAAGTACAGTTTGCAAAATCGTTTGCAGCAACGATAATATTATTCTGTAAAATATATAAAATAATTGTCCATGAGCTTTCAAAAAGCTGTTGATTTTGAACATTTTGGAAAAAAATACATACAAATTTTGAAAAAACAAGGCATGTTCAATATTGAGGAATATTTGTCGACAAGTTAACTTCGAATTTTTTGGTGTTATTTTTTATTAATAATATTTTTAACAATTATTGTTAAAAGTTGAGATAGAATTGAAATATTGTTAATTTTGTCGTTATGATATTTTATCGATTTAATAATTGTTTAAATTTGATAGTGAATCGACCCACAGGACATGCCATTCTAGACCCTATTCTATACGTTATGCAAAATTTCGTGTAGATAAAAAAGAATATATAGATGTATCTATATATAAATCTGAACCGATTTTGACCTATATCAATAGGGCTCATCTTGATGCCAAATAAAGTTTCATCCCATTCGGATGGAATGTCCCAATTTTCATACCGTCATAGAGGTGACCTGTAACATGTTTAAAATAATACATGGACGGAGGGACGAGCATAAATCGACTCAAGAATAATATCTCGCTTCCTTTCGGATATTGCAAAATATGTACCAAGACATAAGACAAGCCACAGGGCGGTGAAGGGTACAACCACATTTTTGCACAAAAATATCAAACGAAATTGAGCCCGGCTGGGATTTGAACCCTGGTTCCCATGGCATCTGTTGGTGTCCGGCGCCTTAGCGTTCAAAGCCACCTCCTTATCTTCCTAAGGTTGCACAATATGCAGTTGCATACCATTGAAGACAAAATATTGTAGTCTGTATGGAAAAAAAGTCCGTCACTACAAGAAAAATCTGCTCTGAAAAGGAATGTTCTGGTGTGATGCCAAATGTCCGAACCTTGACACGGTTGAATTTAATTCGTAGATGCAATTTCGCAACAATAGTCGACATAAATACAACTTATCAAGTAAAGACATTTGTAAGCCACATTTCCCAATATGCCTGATGAGCCGCTTAACCAACGGCGAAACGCGTTGCATAGTGGTGGGAATGTAGTATCTCTCTGGCTTTCCTTTTCATTGCAACTCCGATCATGTAGCTCATCTCGAAAGAGAAATTAATAAGAAATGATGTTTTGTTATTGATATTGTCGATAAATTATCGGCATCGTCGCATGAGTGTAAAGCGGTGTACACCAGGGATGGTCCGTGTGACGAATTGTTAGGTTTTCGACTGTCAAAAAGGTGTAAACGTCGAAAACGTCATATACCTGTATAAAATGTAATAAATGTATTAAACGTCATTTATTTCAATATTATCAGCGTGTACAATTATTTTCAAGAATATATATTATTTTTACATATTTCTGACTATTTCTTACTAGAAATTATAAAATTGTTTAAATTTTTTTGAGAAAAAAAATTTTTAAATTTTATATTAATTTGTGTAAAGCATGCGTAACTTCCAAATTGATTAATGGAAGTAGGAAATGTTGACCATTTGTGGGGGAGATGCCAGAAGGAGTGAACCAAAGAGTCCCATCTTTGGACTTGGCCTAGGCTTTGTAATGATAATAGGTTGTACAAAGTTTGGTTCAAATCGGGCAGTCCGAATAAAATTAATTTATAACATTTTAATTCGGGTACCAGAAGGAGTGGACCAATATTCCCCATCTTCGACCTTAAACTAAGTTTGGAAAAATTATTACGATGTGCAATGTTTGGACGAAATCGATTGCTCCCTTCGAGAGTTATCGTGCGCACCAGCCGGCCGTTAGTTAGAAATATTTATTTATATTTGTTTCTAAATTGATGAATATTTGTTTTAATCTGGCATATTCTCTGATTATTTTATGTTTTAAAATAAAATTAAAATTGAAAAGCTCTGAAAGATTATATTCCAGAATGCTGTAATGTTGAATTTTAATTACAACTGAATTTGAAAATATTTTTATTGTATATACGAACGTTAGTGTCAATATCACGCACTTGCTTTATAATATTCAAATAGATTCTCATTTATAGAACATAGAGTCGAAATCGTTTATAACACAGGTTTTAGCGATATTTGATATCGAATATGTCGACTATCACCGAAATAAACGATTTCGACTGATTTCTAAAAATATAAATTTTATTTGGAGATGTTACTAGTATTAAACGATAAATTATATATATGTTACACTTCGTAATCTTCTTCAAGACTGGGAAGGCAAGGTTTGGAAACGAGGATACCATAAAAGGAGAGGGGAAGCCGAGGAGAAGATCCATATCAAAGGTAAAGAGGCCCGAAGACTTTACAGTGGAGCTCGCCGCAAGAACTCAATATTATACTAATCAATAAGTCCAACTTTTTCTTTACTCAAAACTATGGAACGGACAGTCGATATCATGATAAGAACAACAACCAAACGATACTCTAAAGTACAAACAACACGCCTATGTAAAGGGAAGATCAGTGGAAACTGTATGAAATGTAGTCTATTAGACATATCAGGGGCAAAGTATGTCTCTTCGCTAGAAATACAAAAATAGATAACTATATCAAATAAAGTTAAATGTCTGGGGGTCATCCTAGACAGAAAATTTAAATGGAAAGACCACATACAGGGACGGACAGATAAATTACTCAGATGCTGGGTCTTCTCATTGTACTATGTAACTTTAATAACTCAGTAGAAATAAGAGTAGACACAACATATGAAACTATAATGGTTGAACACCAACTAACAAGCCCCCGGTAAATGTTGTTACACAAATGGCTCCAGTTAGCTGGAAAGTAGGGACTGAGATCGCAGTACGAACCTACATGAAGGTTCAAGCTATAACGGAGTGTCTGAACTGGTTTAGTTCAAACTCTAGTCAGAATATAATAAACATAGAAAACAATCATAAGAACAATAACCTCAAAAAAAGTTAAGTCCAAAACTACTTTAAATAATATAAACCATAAATAATAATGGTCTCTTATGAGTCATATTGGTACATAGGAGCCCAGCCTTTTCCTGTGCTCAGCCTTTTCAAGCTTTCGAACCCAATATTTAGGAAAACCCCCCTTTTGTGAAATAACCGATCTAAGGGATTGTGAATGGAAAAAAACTTAATGACTTCACAAACAAGCAGAATTTATAGACTTCTTCTTTGCACACAACAGCCTACTGAGAGGGCGTCCTAAAATTGGGCATGTGGTGGTGTAAACCACCATTCTTTTCAACTTAACCTAACATATAGAAATTCAATCTGATTCGAATTGCAGTATGCAAATGTAATATATATATATATATATATATATATATATATATGTATATATATATAATTAGCACATACCTGAAGGGTGCAGTGTTTTGATTAACCCTCGATTCCATTGGAATATTTTTAAATATTTTGTATTCACTCAATTTAATAATGCAAGAATATACCGGGTTTCTTTTTCGAAGTCAAATATTTATCAATATTGTCATTGTTGCCAGCACAGATAGATTTTTTAGTAGGATTTTTTACTTCTGTCTTCTGTAAATGGTACATCATACTCATTTGCTAACACGAAGTTTTATAAACGATAATTAAGTAAAAGATCAAATGTGCGCTAATTAGTGTCCCCTTAAATTTTAACTTGTTTCATAACCTCCTTATATAATATATGACAAATTTCCCCTGATAATTCACACTTCATCGCTCTAGTACAGTACATATAAAAAATATTTTAAAATATTCCAAACGAATCGAAGGTTAATCAAAACATTTCCCCCTCAGGTGTATGCTAATTAGGTGACCGGTACTGTATATATATTTTACAGCACAGATTTAAAACATTTAATTTCGTTGTATTGTTCCACATTAATGACCATACATTTCATTATAATGAAATTATTTATGTGACACAGTCCTGGTTATTAAATGTTGTGAATATCCAACGGGCTACAAGTTTGCAGATTACTTCCTTGCTGTAATATCAAATCAGTTATATAATAACAATTATTTTGTGACCTAAACAAGAAAATCCATTTTGCTTATTTATTATTCAACGGAAAAACAAACGTTTGCTTTTAACTTTAAAAATAAAACTCTTTAAAGTAGTGTAATTTTTTCCGTCAAAAATAAAAATCATTTGAGTATTTTATATTTTCCGTCAAAAATAAAAATCATTTGAGTATTTTATAATTTCCGTCAAAAAAAAAAAAAAAAATCATTTGAGTATTTTATATTTTCCGTCAAAAATGAAAATAAAAAAATTGTGGAGTTACATTCAAAAATAAAACTCATTTAAGTAGTGCTATTTTTTATTTATAAATTAAAATTATACATTTAATAACAAACTATATATGCTGATTTCTGCCGAAAAAATCCTCAATTAGATTTCTTCTCTGAAGGAAAAAAATAAAAATCATAACATGATTATTTTTGAGGAAAACACTCCTTAAATGAGATTTATTTTTATATTTGACAGAATATATAAAACTCCTCAAATGATTTTTATTTTTGATGGAAAAAATAACACTCTTTAAATAAGTTTTATTTTTACCGGAAAAATAACTATAATTTTTAACATTAAAAACAAACGTTGATTTTTTACTTTGAATACAAAATCGTCAATACGAATCTATTGTTATGTGACAATTAAGGTGTCCCGTGTCTATAACATGAAGAGTTTTTCGTTAAACTTTTTTAAAAATAATTGTTATTTCCGGTACTGCTTCCTTATATCCAATTTACTATGCGCCAAATGTATGTTTGCAACTTCGTACACTATTTTGACTATTCGACCATCCAGAATACTCTAGACACCTTTTACTATTGAAATTAATGGTTAGTATACACTACCAAATTATTATGCGTAATAACTTTAACTACCTTGAAAATTCAATGCAATATTAGCATTACTCTCGCCGTGCTCATTCAGAGCGTTGCAACGATAATTGCCACCATCTTCCGTTGTTGGATTCTGTATTTCCATGGTTAAAACAAACAAATCTTTTCCACAGCTTTTACATTCCATTTTAACCCGTGCAGAATTTTCAATTCGCTTATCCCCACGGAACCATGAAATTTCTGGTGTTGGATAGGCTTCTAATATACACTCCATAATTAAAACATCTTTTTCCTGTCGTATTGTCGGCTTTTTTGGAAATCTTGGTGATTTTGCGTCCGATATTCTAGTAATAGTCATTTAATCAAACTTTTTAAATTCTCTTCTGTTATAATAATGAAACCACTTACTTCTTTGAAGATCCTTCAAAATTTAAATTTAGCGTAGTGGTTCCCTCTCCGTGAATATTTTTCGCTGTTACATGATATTCACCTTGATCGCTTGGGACGACATTCGTTATTTCCATATTTGCCATGTGGTACAATTGTTGATCCAATACCAGAGATATTTTATATCGTCCACCATTCATTATTTGTTCCTTGCCGTGATACCTTTTCGCGTAAGTTATTCATATTATATAATGTATAATTGAATGATCCCATTGATTAAAGCATTGTGCAAATTTAACAATTTAATACAGAAATTTTTATATGATTTAATATATAGGAATATATTAATTTCCTACATTCTGAAAACAATTGCATTACAACTCATATATTTATTATATGATCACCAATATTTTAAAACTACAAAAAGTTTTCTGATTTGGCCTATGTTTTCAGACTTTAACCATACAATAAAAGTTACTCTTTGATTACCAATTAACTGTACATTTTAATCTTCAAAATTAAACCTTAAACAGACAATTACAAATGTGTAAAATGTAATTATTCAACGAATAACAGATAATCATTTCTTACGTTTGCCTGAACGTAAAATTTAATGGTTAAATATAAAAATTAAAGAATTTAAGTTAATTTTGTATGATCTTTTGTTACTTAATATGTAGATCGATTCAGTAAATTATAACAATCCGAAAATTTTGTCTACATAATATATTATTGATATTGAGTACTTATTTGGTCCTCATAAATAACCTGAACAGTGAAAATATAAGATTCAATCGCAGACATAGGTAAATAAATTCTTATTTTAAAAATAATAATAATAAAAATGATTCAAAAGTATATTATTTTATTAGGTTTTATTAAAATACATTAAAAATTATATTTTTACTTCTGGGCCTGCGTATATATTTTAAAATTATATGTTTTGAAAAATCTTAAATGTTTTTTCGAAAAATGTTATGTATAGAACAACATAATCCGAAATTTATACATATATAATACATAAAGTTGTATTACAAGCTGTATAGTTGTAATGTAACATTTTTATTTCTAATGATGTTGCACTATAGCTGTGAACTCCTGTCATTAGTATAGCTTGGTGTTAATAAGTTCTACTTTATTTAACTCAAAAATGAATGAAAAATAATTAATAATATAAAATAATTAGCACATTATTTGCTGTAATCAATGAGTGTGGGAAAATTATAATATGGCGTTCATACCACGTAACTGTTGGCTTGGGATCCCCAACGCATCTACACTGAAACACAACATTTCCATCTTCAGTCTGTCGTATTAACGGTCTTTCGGTGAATGTGGGTTTTATACCATCATCGGGTACTGGAGCTTCGTCGCCTACGATTTAAAAATGCATATATCTATATATAATATCAGGAAAAAGAAATGTGCTTTTTTATATCTTTTTGGTTTGAACAATAACTTCTGAGAATAACCCTGAGCTTACTGAGTACATATATATGTACAGCTTTTTATGGATTGTTTCCTAAACAAATTTTGATTTTGCTTTGCAGTTGCGGTTTCAAACCTGGGTTGAGAATATAAAATATCACAGCCGCACAAGAAATATGCCCTTCTTTTGGTTTACCATCCCCAACAAATGAATATGTTTCATTTCACATTATTGTGACATTATAATGTGAAATAGGACAAAATAGCATAGAGTGCTTTTGAAACCAAAAAATGCCTCTACGTTTTAGACATTTAATCACAAATTAGATAATTTAAAAAAAAAAATTAAAGCATATCGCTCTCTTGCTGCAAGACAGGCATAACTCAAAAAAGTGATTTTCGAGTTAATGATGCACGATTGTTTGCAATAATAGACCTCATGTTGTGCAAAAAATACATATGAATATATCTTACACACTCTAATTGAGAAGATGTAGAAGTTCCTCTGTCCCATATAAAGTGTGAGTAAATTGAAAACTTAAAACGCATTTTCAGCAAAATTGATTTTTTGAGTTATGCCTGTCTTGCAGCAAATGATCGATATGTAAAATATTGAAATAGTAAAATCCGAACCTCGCTAATCCGGATTATACGGATATTCCGACTGCATTTAACAACTCATTGCGAATTCCATAACCCTATTTTTTAATCTAAAACAATACACCTAGAATTTGGAAAATTGCCCTTAATAATCATAAAATTAAAATTAATAAGAAAATATTTTTTAAAACATAGAGATATTTGAAAAAAAAAACAACAGATTGGAATACATTGACTTCGAAAGGCTTCAATGAAGAAAAATTATTTGGTTTTGCAGTATGTGGCAGATTTGTAATGACATCTATAATACAAAATCCAAAATATATTTATCCAAATACATATATCAAATAGAACAGACATACATACAATGGTGGCCAATAAATAGTTAATTTACTTACTTAAATATATATAATGTATTTTAAAATAAAAAAATACTCTACGGAAAATTTAACTGACCCAATTTTTGCTTGATCAAAACTAAGACAACTTTTTGATTTTTGTATACTATTCCTTACATCCCGAAACTTTGGGAAGAGGCTATGTTTTTTGGTTTATGAATCTCCTTTGATTTTGCTACATATGATAATCCAAAGATTTTTCTATAGGGTAAAAATTGTTTTGGCCATTATTCAACCTTCACTTTTGATTTCCACAACCAACCTTTGACATGTTTCGATGTATGTTTGAGATTATTGGCATTGGTATTTTTTACGAAATTTTAGGACAATTTGTTGACCAGTACCTACTTATAATTCCAGAAATCACGGATTAATTTATGGAATATTTCTTCAGTATAATTTTCTATAATAAATTATTTTCACAGCCTCTAGCAATTAACTGTTTTATAGGTGTACTGTTTTGTTTATAGCCACAGCAAATTGAAAACAGACACATTTATTGTCATGGCATAATGGTTAGAGGTAGTCTCTTTTGCTAAATCGATGATGGCAAACCCAGCAACTCTACTTGATTTTGTCATTTTCAAACAAAATTTGTATTTGAAACCGTTATATTATATAATAATTTATTTCAATGTTTACATAGTTGTATTGTTTGACAATACAGCAAATTGAAAACAGACACATTTATTGTCATGGCATAATGGTTAGAGGTAGTCTCTTTTGCTAAATCGATGATGGCAACCCCAGCAACTCTACTTGATTTTGTCATTTTCAAACAAAATTTGTATTTGAAACCGTTATATTATATAATAATTTATTTCAATGTTTACATAGTTTTATTCTATATAGCCCGTTTCTTCTTATTAATGTAAAGGCAATAAGTCCATATGTTACAATTTTACTGAAGACATGTGATAAATTGTACATTGCGTCGTTACTCATCACTACAAAACAACAAATGAGCTAATTGTAGATTTGTTATTAAATCTATGTATTTTTACTTATTGAACATGTCTGTATCTAAATCTAAATTTCATGAAAAAGTGGATTCATTGCATTTTCACTTTAAGCCAGCGATATATTATTCTGGATATGTAAATCGTGTAGTTGCGTTTTTATGTCCACCATTTAGTTAATATTATCACAATCCACAACGACGATGTAGTCATGGTCGGTTGTTCCTCCTGATTTATTCATACATGTTTCCAAGCCTAATCTCATAGCCCCAATAGGCCCCATATTCAGGTTTTCGATCTTTCAAAGTATGAGAAGTTTATTATTTTAGCATCAGCAATGCGTACATAACTAAGGAGTGAACATATGAGTTCCCGAGACTACCTTCCTCATTATATCATGATTATTGTCAAAATATATGAAAACTGAAGTTGGGACCGCTAAGAGTAAAGATTTGTATGAAAAATATGTCTTAAAACTTCGGGACCAGGAATGTGTTCGCTTTAAAAAAGTTCGTTATAAGCGTACCAGACTGTTATTATAACGGTAAAAATAACACACATTTCAGTGCTCATTTGTTTGTACAATAGAGTTGCTTTTATTTTGTCCAAGCAAAAATTGCAACAATTTCCTTACATTATTTATTTCAAAATGGATTTTGGATTTATGCTTTTGACTCTTTAAAAAAAAAAACTAACACAATATATACTTATTCGGCATTTATTACACTGTGCAACACAAAAATCTTGAACAATCAGGTCCCTCAAAATCTGAAAAATTATTAGCTACGGTTTTTGCTTAAACCTGGTTTTAATTTATTCGACTTTGGGAGAATTTTCAAAAAAAAAAAAAACGTAAAAAACAAACAATTTCTAAGCTTTTTTATAATTTTTTTATGGAAGGTAGGAAAAATAAGCAACGCCTCTCAAAACTCAGTTTGGATGCTTATAGTCTCAAAAATGAACCAACAATATGTTCATAGAATATTTTATGTTTTTTTTAAATACAGCACCATAAATATAGATTATATAATGGGGATGCTTATTTTGTTTTACAATGCTGTTAAAAATGAAAAATAAACTCTATAGAGCATAATACATTGTAGGCCATAACTACCTATTAGTTACATTATTTTTCATATGGTATGTTCGGCCGAAGCCATACAGAAATGTATAAAGTGCACATACTTTTGGAAAACAATTTAACTATTTTTAATATCAGTTGTATAAATAATACTTTTCATAAGATTTGTATGAAAAATTGAAAGTGAATAAATATTTTAATAATATTTATAACCTGAAGTGTGAAATTGCATTATTTTTTGCGTTTTATTTGAAATCAACGGAACAGCTTTTTGCATTTGAGATTTTTGGTCAGTGTTTGTAATTAGAAATGTAATGACAGTGTTTGTAATTAGAAATTGTATGAAAATATTCGTAAACATATTAAATATTATTGAATTTTCTTTAGTTGAAATTCGTTCAAACGTTTCTGAATCGACTAAAACAAGCATGTTTGATTTTGAAGTAATGGAGTTGGTAGTTATGCAGTTTAAACATTTCTATAATAAAAATTATAAGTAATCTAAAATTCGCCAAACTACGGTCGACGTGATTCAACCCAAAAGTTAATCACACTATATATATATATATATATATATGATTTTTTGCCCAAAATTCTCAAATTCAAATTTTAAATGCTGGTCAACTTATAACTCACGAAGAAATCGCTTTATGTTTCGCTACAAATTTTGTCAAACTATATGGGAGAGATTTTAATAGCTGATTAAAAATTATTGAGCGCTTTAGTAATTTTTCAGAGGAAGTGTGTAAAAACTGGACGCGAAAGTTTGTTTTATTTTATTCCAAACCCATTTACCATGTCCCACATTACAACATAATACAACTCAAAAATAATGTTGAAGTTTGACAACGTTATTGATGTAAGTCCATTACATAAAATACTTACTGTCAAAATTTAAGCTAATGGTAGCATTACTTTCGCCAAGATCATTTTTACCATTAACTTTATATTTGCCTGCATCTTCTACCGTTACATTTTTTAGTTCAAGAGTGGCGAAGTAGGAATGGCCATCTCTTTTTACGCTAAGCTGAAAAAAAATAAAAAAAAATCAGTTTATATAATTTTTATACAATAATTTACAAAGCTAGTAATATGAAATGTCTATTTAATACATCTAATATTTGTTTTAGAAATTTATAAAAGTATAATTTCATTGAGTAGTGGTTGTTTATCAACCCTTTTACACGTTAGGCTAGAGGACTGTTATTTTTCATATTTTATTGTTTATAAAATTTTCCTTATATTTCGCAATGACCAAATTGCATCTTCAGGGGTGATATTTATTGTTGTGCAATAATAACTCCGGACAATGGTAGTTTAAAATTCAGCATCGGAATTCATAATCAACAACAAAGCAACTTTTATATTATTTCTTTGATATATTTTATATTTATTTATTGATTTATTTATATTTATTTAGTAATCGATAGCGTAACCCTTATTTTTGATTTCACCTACGATGCATTGAATCTATGATCTATTCCACAATCTTATGATTGTGCTGGCTATTATTAAATACAGATTTTTGACACCCGCAACCAATCTTTGACATGCTTTGGTGTATGTTTGAGGTATTGGCAAGCTATGTAAGAATCGAAGTAGGTGTAGAAACCAAAACATAGTAATTATAACAGTAAACTAACTAAAATTTCAGAGCTCCACTGTGCAGTAGAGTTGCTCTAGTTTTGTCCAAGTAAAGATGCAACAGTTCCCGTGGATGTAATTTAATTTTTGTTAATTTCGTTAATTTCAATGTTCAAATCTTATAATAAACAAGTGAAAAAGCGTTAAGTTCGGCACGTCCGACAGATACTTGAAATGAATATATGGGGAACATACCAAAAATTAACATATACCGATAATTCTACAAACTGGTTTGTATAAACCGTTATGTACACCAAATACAAATTCAAGCACCAAAGCGTGGAATATTACTAATAACGCATGGTAGAATATACAATCCTCAAACCACTGCAATTGGGAATATAAAGTTGAATTGCATAGAGTAGGAATTAGCGAATATTTGGAGTTATAATTATATAAGGACTATGCCTAATTAATGATCGATATGTCGATTTCGAACCCAATATTTTTGTTTTGTGTCTCAATTCTTTCCTTCAGGAGGTATAATTATATGGGGGAAATGCCTAAATGCTGGCCGATAAATTTCATCATCGTCAGGTTCAAGTTTTCACGATTTCCTTAGAAAGCGGAATAATTACAACCGATGGCTAAATCGTCTTAGAATTCCATAATTTGTAGGGTAAAACTGATTTTTTCGAGTAACGACTATCCCCTATACTATGGGGACAACTCCTACACATGGAACTAAACAGCTAACTATTTTAATATAAGAAGGGGGTTATATGAGAATTACCCATACAAAAAAGAGATGTGCGTAAAAGTGTATGTGGGTACAACCAAACAAATGTTAGGTGTGAGAGTGAAGGAACATCAAAATTACATAAACAAAGGAACGGAAAGGCAGCACTCTCACAGGACATTAAAGAAACTGCCAACACATCTGATTTCAAGAATGTCAGAATCTTAGACAAAGCTAAAAACCAAAATAAAAGATATACATTGGAAAGCATAAGAATACAATAACGAATAAATAAACACGAAGGAAGACAAAGACAGTACTAAGTTTCAGTATTCAATTGCAATAACTTAAACACCAGTTCTGTGATATATTTAATTTTTAACTGTGAATTTATTTATTTATTATTTTATTTTTTAATTTATTCTTTATTTTTAATTAAATGTAAAGGAGTCCCGTTTTTTAATTGAAGTAAATAATAAACAAAATGAAAAAAAACTAAAGTAAGTTAAAAAAATAAGTGAAATATTCAGAATAAATAGTATATTGAAAAGAAATTATAATTTATATTTTGTTAATAGAACAATAAAACAATTTTTATTTTCATCAAAAATACCCGACCAAAAAAGCCCAACAAAAAGCATCAATAATTAATAATAATAATTTTTGGTAGGAAGATTTATTACCATATGCAACTACAAAATACCAAATTACAGCGAATTCGGTTGAAAACGCGCTCAAGAAACCCAAAATACCAAGAATTGAGGGTGTCTTATATGGGGGCTACCCGAAAAAATGGGCCTATATTTATAATTTTTAGTGAAGAAATTTGGTATTCAATAAGAACCCATTGTACCAAATTTCAGCGAATTCAGTTTAAAAACGCGCATAAAACCCCAAAATACAGAAAAATATAAATCAGCGAATGCGGTTGACAAATACGCTCAACAACCCCAAAATACCGAAAATTGGGGGTGCCCTTATATGGGGGCTAACCGAAAAAATGGACCTATATTTTTTTATATATTTATTATTTTAATAGAGAAATTTATATACCAAATTCAGCAGTATACCAAATTTCAGCGAAATCGGGTTAAAAGCTGGTTGTAATTGACGTTTATAAGTTTTAATGATATTTTGAAGAATATTTGCATTTCCTCACATTTTATATCAAACTACTATGATTTCTTACATCGTGGTTCTTTTTTCACATATCTCTCTGTAAGCAATTGTCAATTATGGAAAATTCTCAGAATATGTTCATTTTCTTGAAAACAAGAATGTATATGAAAATATATGTATATTTTCAATTGAATGATATGATACCGAAAAGAGAATTCAAGATTAATCACTCACGTTTTAAATGAAATAAAGATTTATTTAGTTTGAAAATATAAATTATGCTTGGTGAAACAATTTGCATGGCAAAACTTTTCTCAAGTAAAAGACAGTAAAATATGGGAAGAACGTAAAGATTAATCGGTACCATCATATGGTACCGATTAATTAGGAGGGAATTAGGAGGGAAGTTTCGAATGAATGACAATTAAATTAGCATTTTGTTACTACTTCCAAAGTATTTAAAATCGGGCTACGCCAAAATATGGACCAAAGATAAGGATGCTTAAAACACACACAAGAATAAGCAGCCTATGGGTAAACTTTTAAAAACTAAATCCCATATAACATCTGGGGCACTTACCGAAACTTGATCGTATCCTAAATAGGAAAGAAAACCAGCAATATTTGTGAAAAATTGCCAATTGCGGTTTCTATGTCTTTGAATACACCAAAGACATAGAAACCGTAAAGACTCTACAAAATGAATTTTGACAAAATAGTTTACGAAAACAAAAGATTCAAGCATATCGGATGCGTGTTAGGAATTAGAACGCTAATAAGCGAAAATGTGTGTACAAAATGCAAATGTGTGTACAAAAGCAAATGAGCGATATGTTTTTATATTATAAGCTTGTTATATAGCGGTTAAAACGTTTAATATTGCTCGTTCTGTTGTTATGAAATCATAACAATAGAGTGAAAGTCATCTATCTGTCTTTGAATACAGTTCCAGTAGGGTACTCCATGTTTAGGAACATAGGGTAAGTGCTCCTAACGCCGGCATGTTCCAATAGTCGGAATCTGTTGTATATAACTTCAAATAATTAAAAAATTATATAACTAAATATGAAAAAACCTTGAATAATCTTCAATAACACTTCAACCCATCTCTGTAAAAAATTTCATCGAACTATGTACAGTTATTCAGCCAAAATTTGGCATTTTGTCAATGAGGTTTTTCAAAATTAGCAACAAGAAAAAATTATGGATATGTCGATTTTAAAAGACTTGTAACTATATTAAAATTTTATATTTTTCTCAAAGATATTCTTCATAATTGTAAAGAACATACAGGAGAACACTTTAGAATTTATATTCATTAAAAAATATTTGTAATTATGATATTTTTAACGATTCCGCCCTATGGATAGATGATAATAGGGATAGATAGATAATAAGCACATTTTCAAAGATTTTGGCACAAAATTTTAAAAAATGTTAAATAAGAGCTCTAAATAACAATTGATTTAAAAACAATTTTTAATGGTTTTACATAATTTTAATTTAATAAATAAAATAATTTTATATAAAATTTTCAATACAACATTGATGAAAACGTCCGATAATAATAATAATTTATTAATGAAATAACAGATAAATCGATTAAATATATAATTGAGCCGACCATTGGAAAAAAGTGCCGACTATTGGCAAAAATACACTATTTTACCTAATTCTCAATTTACTCACCTTTAATACAAATTAATTAAGCAAATTTTTATTGCATCGGGGTGTAAATAAAATTTCGAAACAGATGAACCTAAATAGGATGTAGTGGAAAAAATGCACTCGGGTTGGTGAAACGTTTAAAATGCGAAAATACTTAAAGTGCCGACCATTGTTGAACTTATCCTATATCATGAAAATTGGCTGCAAATTAGTATTTCTAGTGTGGTTACAATATTTGTCGATATAGGTCCACTTATTTCCTTTGTATTATTTAAAAAGAATATGCAGTTTTACACGCACTTCCAAAAATGATTCGTAATATAAACAAATGTCAGTATACCTAAGGGTAAAGGTATAAAAAAACTATTAGCTATAAAATTCGATGAATAAGATATTTGTTTTATTGGACTGTGGTGCTAGATATTTATAAATACTGTTCAAGTGGTTTTCATTGCCAAATTTTTAGATTTAAGGATTTTTCCTTTAAAAGTAATTACAAAAATGTTTAAAAACGTATGATTAAAATTATGCTAAAAATTTGTAAGAGCAAAATGCTAAATGAAAATTTTGCGGCTAAGTCCAAAAACTGGTAAATTTAGCAGTAAAAATGTTTAGTAGCCATACAGAACGCAGATCCACATCGAAAAAATGCAGTTTTTCATTCACCAGGAATCCAGAATTAACGCGCAGGATGATAGATGGAAATGTTGTTATCCCGAATAATTTGTTTAAACGGACAACATATAGCAATAATTTAATAAAACATAATTTTTCAAATATAATAACTCTTCTCTTCTTTTTAGATGATGGTTAAATATCGGGTCCGGGCTTTGCAATCCTAAGATCTATTTTAAATATTATGTGGTCTATAATATAATATTTAAGATAGATCTAAGAAGGATAGATTTTAAAAACGGAAAATATTGGTCCAAGTCTTTGAAAAGATTTAATATGACGATACTAGCCGATGTTAAGTCCTTTTAATGGTTTAATTGGCTGTAATATGCAATAAGAGGTTGTGAATGAGTAACATACATCCTTGCAAATTCACATTTTTTACATAGTTCATTTTTAAAATTTGATTATCATCATGAAAGCCTTCAAGATGATAAAAGCATTAAAATAATTAGTAAGTAGAAACTATGCGCAATTACAACATATCTTCATCAATTTAGGAACAAAATAGAAATTTCTATAGTAAACACAAGTGCAGGTAATGTGGTAAACGTTTGGTCTGTACTCAAAAATGTCAGCACAAGACGAAAACTCATTACTCCTTGGTAGATTTGCTCTCTACTGTATTGGGAAAGCCTACCATGAATTGTAAGTTCTAAACCCAGTGCAAAAATAAAACAACACAGCAAGCGTTGTTGTACAAAAAAAGAGTAAAAACGGCTTACTCCAAGGTGGATTTAATAAAGTGTAAGTGACAATCATATTGTTTTAAACTTTTTTCTTTGTTGTTTGTAAAGTAAATTGTCAAAATTATTTCTCAACGTTTCATTTCGATTTAAAATATTGTATTTTGCTTTCGATTATTATTTTTTTATTAATAAAAGTGCAATAATAATGAATTTATAGGGACGGAATAGAGACAAGGAAGCGTGAGTTCTAAATCCGGCCGCTGATTTGTTCCACTTATTTTCCGCATGTACAACTTGGGTTCCAGATTGCAAATACATATACATATGTATATGTGTGTTCTTATGATCGATTTAAAACCAAAAGGAGATTGTTAAAGAAAAGGCAATCTGCCCCTAAATCCCCTGTTTCCCTCAAAATCAAGGAAATGGTGTTATATAGCTTGTATTAGAATTTTTCCATTAGTTTTCTACAAACGCCTGGCTAAATACAATTTTTTTTTACAATTTAAAATGAGATTCTGTTGCGTAGTCTATTGACAGATTGCATACGGCTTTGTGGTGTTTGACTGGGGATTTATGTCCTACAATTTTTCTACCAAGAAGCTACTTCTTCGAAAATTATATTGTAATTTCAAATATAAGCAAAATCCCCAAGGAACCAAGACTTACATGTGGGACACTTTTCAAAATTATTCGACTTGAAGAAATGTATAATTGTTTTTATTTACTTTTGTCAAAACCTATTTGTCAGCATGACAATTTAATTTCTATAACAACAATGTTGTTTTTGTAAAATGTTTGTTGTTGTATCTGATGCATACACCTTAAATGTTACTGGAAAAGTAACCAGTAAATGTTACTGGAAAAGTAACCAATCGTTCATAAGGTAAAATATTTAATGCGTATGTTATTAGCGCCAAGAGTAAGACAACCAAAATCTTAACTTTGTAATTGTAAATTATTATCTATCATTAATTTTTTTGCGATTGAGTTTTCGCTGTTTGATGTGCGAGAAATGTCCTTAAAACCGAAAACTTTCATGTTAATATTGGGAATGAAAACGATGTTTTCAGGAGGCTTTATTGGAGATATAGAATCTCTGTATCATAAATTTAAAAACTTATTCGAATATCATCAAATTTGAAAAATAGAGTTTCTATTCTGAAAAAAAAATTAAAACAAATTTGACAAATATATTTAATGACAAAATATGAAATTATTGTTGTTTTCTGGTTGGTTCGAATGCGGTCATACCATATTGAAAGATATCTATCGAAACAAGTGGATATCTACTGTTATAATTTGCACCCTGATTATTATAATTAAGTTACATTTATACTCTATGCGTTCGGTGATATTATTTTTCAATTTACTTACAAATGCATACGTTGTTTTCAATAAATGTATTATTTTATATAAAAAATATATGAGAAACAAAACGACACAAAAAATTGACATACTGGTTTGTGAATAAAAAGGTAGATGGCACTGTTTGCCTGACAACGCTATGTTATTGTTGTAATTAACAGGATATGTGAAGTCCACATTCAAGCATGGTGGCGCAATATGGGTCAAGAGCCAAATTTTTTGGCAAAAATCTATTTCAGGGGACATTGGGTTTTACACCAATAAAATTTTATATCACTGAGGGTCACGGTTTACAAATAATATGAGGTCAAAGTCAAAATTCGATATTTTTATACAACATTGACATGTGTCACATGAATTATAATGAAAGTGAAAATTATTAGTAGTTTGAAGATAATCATCAACAAATTTGTATTTAAATCTCATAAATATAAGTTTTTGCAGAAAATTTGAGTTTGCGACCGTTCATAAACTTTAGAGTCGTTGAAAATGTCATGTAATAATTTAATAAAAATAAAAAACAAAAGGGACATTTACTAAAATAACATTCTGATGATAAAACTGAAAGATATTTGTCTCACTTTCTACCTAAATTGTTGTAATTTGGTATTTTGCGTTCGCGTTGTGTAACACATATTCTTACCAATAATTATCAATTTGTTCCACTTATTAGGGTTCCCCCATATAACCGTACCATCTTATTTTTAATTTTTTGGTGATTTTGTGCGCATTTTCCAACCAAATTGCCTGTAACTTAGTATTATATTATTGATTGTGAAATCTTTATAATAAAAACTATTAATTTTGACTTAAGATTCGGGGTAGGCCGCACATAAACGGATCCTATTATTCGGTATTTTGGGGATTTTGAGCACTCGAATCGGATATACATTAATAATAATTACATATTAATAATACATTTTACGCTATGAATTGTCAAAGAACAAGACAAATTTATTAGCTTACCTTATGTCGTGGTGATTCCTTTACAACTTTGTCATTGTGGAACCATGTAATTACTGGCTGCGGATCTGAGTTAACAGTACACTCGAATAGAAGTCGTTTCCCCTCATCTTCCTGTCTGATTGAGGGTTTCTTCGCAAAAGTGGGTGCGAATCCATCGATTTGTCTGCAGCAATAGGAAATGGAAATGCGGTTTACAATAGTAATAATAATAATAACTGAACTACTGCAGAAAGCAGCAACTTACCCCAATACATGCGAGAAGGAAATATTCCCTTCTATTGATTTAAGACAATATAAGCAGTCAGGAATTAGGCATTAGGCATTAATGAAAAGCAGAGCAATTAAATTATAAGAAAAATTATTTATAAAGCCATGTTTGTTAGTATCTTTTTTTCCGAATAATAATACAGTTTCAACATTATTAAAGAATTCTTACTTTTCTTTCGGTTCGTCTGCAGCTGTTATTGTGTCAAAGATTAATTATATAATAATTGAGTCCAAAATATATCGAATATAATACAGCAAAAAAGATTCATACAATTAATAAGTTATCTTTTTATTTATTTTGTTTATTAAGAAGCAACAAATATATGCAAGGAAAAATTACAAACATATATATTTTTTTAATAATAAAATAAATATTTACAAATGTATGTACTTTGTACTTTGGTTATATAAATCACTTCCAAGGACTACATCTCATTATTAAATGAAAATCGCAGACTTTTGTGTCATCATTTTTCATCGGCTAATTTGCAATTTGAGCGATAATAAAATAATTTCTTAATACATTAGACAATCATATTTCTGAATAGTTATATAATATGCCAAAATGTTGTTCTATGTCCTTTTATGTTAAACTTTCAATTCTGATCTTTAAAATTGCGTGATATTGCTATGTGTACGAAAAATCCAATATTGTGCTTACAATAGAGTCCATAGCCATAGAGAATACAATGTCAGTATTCCCCATTTATTATATAACTTTCTATCTTTTATTCATCTAAGCTAGTCGCTCTATTCCAGAACAGCTTGAGGCATGAACATGTATTATATAAAATAAATGTATAATATAAAACATGGTATCAACTGTCAAATGGTTTATAAAATGTATTCTTAACATTAGTAATATATATATATATATATATATTTTTAATTAATTATAAGTAACACACTAAAAATTTTTACTTACGAGAAAAATTTAGATTTATAGAAGCGGACACTTCTCCGGAAGTGTTTTTGGCCCTCACTTTATAAAGACCAGCATCAGTATCTAATACATCATCAATTTCCAATAATACTGTATATTTGTTCCCTTCTATTGGAATTATTTTTAATTTTGTTCTGTCATTTTCCACTACGAGGGTATCACTTCTGTACCACTCTATATTCGGCGCAGGTGATGATTGCAACTGGCATTCAAAAATCAGGCGATTTCCATCGTCCTCTTGTCTCAGTTGTGGTTTTTTAATAAAACATGGGGCAAAATCTTCTGCGACTCCCATACCGATCTTCAAAGCTTTTTATTAAACAAGGAATCAATCTGAATGGGTTCGAATGATTCTTGCCAATCTTATAGAACCAAGGTATTCATCTATTATTATTTGATTTACCTATTTTTCAATTGCTACCGTGTTTGAACAATTTATGTAGTAACATCCAAATTTATAGTCTACGCAAATATTTTGAGTATATTTGACCTTTACAAGAAATGTATATTGGTTGAAAAAAATGTGTTGCAATATGCATTGCATATAAAACGCTACAACCAAAATATACCGCACTAAGAAAACTATTACTTTTACTTTTCGATTTACCTGATGTTTAGTTTATATTTATAGTAACATCAAATTTATCGGATTATTTATATAGTAACATCAAATTTCTATTTCTAATTCTTCATAGAATGTAGAAAGTAGATAAACAATTGAGTTGAGTATAGATTTTGCACTTTATTTAAATTATATTTGAGTATACAAAAAATAAAATAAAAATAAATATTTTTAATTTACAAATATTTTTCGGCATATATATTACTAAAGACAACTTTTACCGCGAGCAAATATTAGCATTACGTTACCTCGTGTTCGTTTAATGCTGTGTTCGTATTTTATAGTAACATCAAAATTTATAGTCTTTTGTACACAGAGTGTTTGGAGTGAGGACCTTTAGAATGTGAAAGAAACAATATTTTTTTAAATGAGTTTACATTTATTCCTTTATATAAAACATGAAGAACCAGATATACCGCACGAAGCAAATGTTTAACAGTTAAGAAATTTTATATTTTTGACACAAAAAACATAATTACTATTCGACTGGCGCTTATTGAATTACCTTATATTTAATTTTACGATATACAACATTAGTATGTGACCTTCCGCCACATGTTCTAAGAGTAGGAAATTATATGCCCTCCAGCTAAGGTGAGGTGCATATTAAATTTTTCATTCCCTTTGCAATGTCTCGAAATATTTTTCTGAGATTCCACAAAGTATATTCTCGTCGGTTACAATCCACTATTTTTAAGATGTTAGGTATGGAAAGTGGGATATATCGTTGTACGCCATGGAATAGCCGCCATATTACGGAACCGTCCACTTTTAAAGGCTTTAGTCGCATTGTATATAATGCATAATTTTTCTCTGCATCTATACCATGTTTTGGTATAGATCTCATATAACGATATTAACTCATTTTAGACGATTTTTGGTAAATATTCGGATTAGGATATCCTCTAATTTGCGAATTTTAGGTATATAGTGTTTTTGGCAATATTAATATATTGAAAATCCATTTCCATAAAGGCAGGGCATACATAAAAATATGTCCTCCATTAATTTTGACTATAAGCCTCGAAACTCAACTCTCTCAAACATGAGAGAGACATTCCGAAGCATGTTAAATAAAGTTATATAGTTCATATAAAATAAAGAATTTCTTTTTCCACAACCAAATATTTTGAGTACAGATCTCTGATTTTATTTAAATTTTATATATACATTTTCGCTTATTGGCGTTTTTATTTTTAACATGCCTGTTACAAAATTGTTTATGAAAACGTATGTATCTACATTTTATAAAAACATTTTCGCTTATAGGTGTTTTCTTTCTTAACATGCCCAAAGACGTAAAAGTACGACAATTCATACGTCAAGAAAAAGTTCTGACAACTCTTGCAGCATCCAGACGTTATTTATATTATGTAAAACGGTTTAAAGAAATTTGATTAATTTTTGTTTAATTTCATTTTATTCAAAAAATCACAATTCCGATACGGAGTATTAGTGAATTGTGAAATACAAACATGTACAAACATGTGAATTGTATATTGTCTTCATACTGTTGAACGGTTTCATTGTTTACATTTTCTTTTTTAAATATATGTCAAATAAATCCTCATAGAGAAGGTTAACCCGGCAAAAAGTGCTAATGTTAATGCCGTTTTACTGGACGTCTAATAACCTGTTGGCCTGTTGGAACTTGTTGACGTATCAACAATTTGAAGTTATAAATAACAGTAGCAAAGGTCTTCGTTGGGCTTGCATCGATTGTAGATCCTTAGAAGTCGATTGTTATCGTCTTTTTAGGGCAGCTAAAATCGAAATAGCATCTGTGAAGAAGGATTTCGATGCTAAATAAATCGCAATCATATAAAATGAAAACATACATTCGAAATGCAGATTTTCTGATTTTAATTACATTTTTATTGTTTGAGACAAAAGCAAGGTTGTATTTGAAATTATCTCAATTTAGCACAGCGCATAATAGCGCATTTATATACACTTGAGAGTCAACAGTGTCATGTTAAGAATATAAACGCCAATACGCGAAAATGTGTGAATAAAATGTAAATTAAATATATGTTTTTATTTCATAAGCTTGGGATATAGCGCTTAAAATGTTTAATATTGTTCGCTCTATTGTTATGATATCATAACGAAGGAAAATTCATTTATTGGAACTTGTTGACGAATGAATTGTCTTATGATCTCAACTTTGAAGTTCTTAATATCTATACTAACCATAGATTTAGTGCAACTATCGAATATATAGGCCCATCATCTCTAGGCGTAACTAACAAAAAATTGAAAATTGACTTTTTGAATGAATATTGTGAATGTCAATAAACTATATGTGTTGACAAAGTTTTACACGTCTGCGGTAAAAAAATGAGCTTCTATTAACAAAAAACAAAAAGACGTAAATACAAGTGGGTTTATTTGATAAATGCAAAGAGGCGTAACTAACAAAAAATTCACGTTTTTACTCAATTGTAATGGCTGCCATTAAACTAAATAACGAAATTTGTAAAAAAAAAATTATAGTCCATTATTCGTCATATGCAATATCACCCTGCCGGGCATACTTTTTCATTTCACATGACATGTTTATAGTTTCAATTCAAAACAGTTTTTTGCTTCTCCTACGCAATTATGATTTTGTTAGGTACGCCTTTTTGCATTTTGGCTAACGATATGTTCTATTCGTTCACCACAACAAATTTAGTACTATTTACTTATAGAACGCCATTTCAAAACCACTCACTTTATTAACCCTACAAACTTATGGTGATCCCCATACCAACGTTCATGATTCGATCTATTTATTAGTACTACTTATTTTAATACATTTAGAAACCAACACAATATAGATCCCAACGCTAAATTTTAATATAAATAATAATTATTATAACAATTGTGTTAAGTTTAGTGGTAATTGTATATTTTAGAGTCCACACAAAATCAAATACATTTTTTTATTATAATAGGCAAATCATATACACAATTCGGAGAATTCCGAATTCCATTTTCTACTTAACTTATTAGTGCCACATACACACAAATAAGTCTTATTTCTTCCCTATGGACATATTAGTACTTTGGTCGTTCAATGCCAATATTAACAATGTTGAACTTTTTGGACATTTTAAGTATGTAATAATCACCTCTATTCCGTATGTCGTCGTCGTAGAGTCGTATTTTGCAATTGGTATTCCCGATGTCGTTGTCGACATTTATCGATAACTATTGACACATTTTTGGTATTCCTTAACAAAGTTTGACAAAGACGATGTCGAAGATTTCTTCAAAAATTTTTTTAAGGAATTAAAATTAAAAAACTAGACCCTATTCAATATGTATTCATGTAAATAAAAAAGAAAAATATATGGGATCTATATATAATATTTTGTCCAATCCAATAGGGCGGCTTGGCTTTGTGCCAAATAAGGTTTCATCCCATTCGGATGGAATGTACCAAATTTCATCCCATTCGGATCACAAAGGTGGCCTGTAATTTGTTTAAAATAATACATGGATCGACATGCATAAATCGACACAAAAAGTAATACTATGTATATACTAAAAGGTAACTATGGGTCAATCTCATTTCCTTTTGGATGTTGGAAATCAATGCCCTGTGCCACAGTGCGGTCAAGGATACAAACACATTTTTGCACAAAAATATTAAACAAAATAAACAGCTAACTACGACATACGGAATAGGGTTGAATAAATAAATATTTCTTTGTACACACTCACATTTATACTTCTATTTATCATAGTCTAAGCTACATACTGGATGCCACATCAAGCGATGTGGCCGTGGTTTGCATTTGGGATTTATATTAGTTCCGTTCCAGAACCTGAAAGTTTCTACTATTTTTACAGGTTTTGAAACTTTTTGCTCAAAAACCACAAAAAGTAATACTATGTATATACTAAAAAGTAACTATGGGTCTATCTCATTTCCTTTTGGATGTTGCAAATCAATGCCCTGTGCCACAGTGTGGTCAAGGATACAAACACATTTTTGCACAAAAATATTAAACAAAATAAACAGCTAACTACGACATACGGAATAGGGTTAAATAAATAAATATTTCTTTGTACACACTCACATTTATATTTCTATTTATCATAGTCTAAGCTACATACTGGATGCCACATCAAGCGATGTGGCCGTGGTTTGCATTTGGGATTTATATTAGTTCCGTTACAGAACCTGAAAGTTTCTACTATTTTTACAGGTTTTGAAACTTTTTGCTCAAAAACCGTTCCTGAACCCGCAAAACTAGTAAAATTTTCAAACAAAGTTAAGAGAACACAAAACAAAATGGCGTTCTCTTTGCAAAGTTTTTACTCGAGAAAATTGACCGAGTTAAAATGGTAGACAGGAATGCCTACTTCTGATTGGCTATTGTGTTGATTTTGAAGTAATGTCATCTAATTTTGAAATATTTACTAGATTTCCGTTCCCGAACTTTTGTAAATATTTTGTACTCTAAGAGTGATTTTGACTTTACTCCCATTTACTAGATTTACTATTAAAAAAGAACTGGAACAGACCAATTAAGTAAAAACCTTTATTTTGTATTTCGGGTTCTCAGATGTTAAATTATCTCGTCACATACAATTTTCAAATCTGGACATATAGTCTAGACAAACATGGAGTTTTGACATATTCTCCATATAAAGGTCCCGCCCCATTTGGTACAATCCGAATTTTAT